ATCCCGAAAGGTACAAGTTTAAGAATTTTCACATTTCTAACCTTTATAGAACACGGTTAGAATTAGCATCAGGCAATCAGTCACGATCGTCTATATATATTAGAAGTTGGGATTCACAGAATGAAAACTGCATTGGATCACCAGCTTCAAAGGTCATTGAAGCCGGTGAAAGTGTTCCAGCAAGTTGAATTTTTGCACTACTGCCACAGGTTTGAATTCATATCTCGTATAGCCATTGAGGGCCAATCTCGATCTTGGTATCGCCAGAAATTGCATACCATGTACTATTAAAAGAAATATTAGAACAAATACTTCCCAAGGTGGCAAGTGTTGATATTGGCCACTAAACTTGATCAAATTGTTTGATGAACTGGAACTTCTTGTTTCAGCTTAGGTGTATAATACTTGGACAAAATTTTAAGAGGACAATCTCACGATTAAAATGATAACAAAATGAAGCTCATATCTTGAATAGAAGGAAGTTATTACAGAAACAGTTTCACAATTCCAGTCTGTATGGGCGCTGGGAACGAAAACTATGTCAAATTGCAGATCTGTGGGAGAGAAACACATTGGTTGAAATTATCTATTCTAGTAGCGAATTTGTTGGCCCTTCGCGCAAAAAAAATTAATTGCATTCCTTGCGAAATGGCAAAAACTTAAAGTACTTCCCCCTTGAAATATGTGACTTATTGGGACGAAAGCCTTGATTTTCCTCAAAATCATTAATCCTATTATTTCTAGCATGTCTAACTTGAAATCTTTTATTGTGTCCCTTTTTGTTAGGGTGTCAAAGATCACATGGGATAATGATTCTTAAGCTTTCTTGTAATTATATATTCGCCCTTTTAAATGAAATTCACGAAATTTTCTTGGGGGTGGCGATTTCTTAAAGAGAACGTCATCGACGATCTTGACGATTCCTTCTCCAATGAAGTCAATCACTATGCATGAGGATGTTTTATGTATGTTATGTGTGCGAGTGATATCTGCAGATAATTTCGGTTGTGATAAGAAAAATGCCTAAGGAATGATATTTTGGTTTCTTTTGATCCCGCTTTTCAGGTATTTCCAATGGCTTTGGACTTACTGAGAACACATACAATGGATCAGTCTCAACATTTGTCTCCATGCCTTCACCAGTGAGATCTTCGTCATCAGATTATGCTATGGGTACAATATCTCAATATATTTTGTTTAGCGCTCTCTATTTTATTATTGCTATTTTCATGGAATTGCTTTGTAAAATAGGCTGGCTACAATCTGTGCAGTGAACAATAACCGAAAATGTTATTTTTTGATGGATTGACCTTTTGATACGGGCTTCTTACTATTTATTTTCTAATGCAGACAGAGTACCGATGACGACACAGCTGGGTGTAAACTGGAATGACACTGCCGACACGTCGATACTTGCTCCTTTGCCGGAAGCAACTGTCTTGGGAGGGAGCCTTGGAACAGCAGTATCACCATTTGAGACTGCACAACGCTGAAGTTAAGCTTTTTATAACAGCAGTGCACGGGATTAGGGAANCGCTGAAGTTAAGCTTTTTATAACAGCAGTGCACGGGATTAGGGAAGTGTAGAATCCCAGCCCCACAAGTACTACATCTCTATCCTAAATGGAAGAGAGCTCCTCTGAACATCTACTCCTCCTCCCGAGGTTCCAGTATGGAGGGGAAGCAGTAGGTCACTTTGGTATTCTTGAGTGCTGGTGAGAATGAGTTATTCCTGTACTCGTCCAACCATCCTAGAGTTCTGAAGAACCTAAAGGAATAGAAGGTTCAGTATATATAATTGTATCAAATGGTACTGATTGGCTCTTCAAATGCATGAATGCCATGGAAAATTAACATAAATCTTACGCAAAATGAATGTAAATATGATGTTTGGAATGCAAATGGGAATGTCAATTTTAGATAAAATTGACGCTAATTTTGTCACCGTTTATGTATCACAGATGTGACACTTCTGCAAACATGTTGACATTTTCTTGACAATGGTTTGCATAAAAATGATATAAAATGGACTAAAAGGTTCCATTCACTTTACTTAAAATTAACATAAACATGCTCTTTGGGTAGACACTCCTCTCACAGTCGCCACACTCTCTCGTATAAGGGCGTTAATCTCTGCAGACTTTTTTGCTTGAATTTATTTCGTGAAATGAATGGAGAAAACTACAGAGGAGGCAGGAGTCTCACCTCCCAAAGCAGCCACGGAGGAAGCAGAAGTTGGAATTTGCTCGAACATGGCTGATGAACTTCCTAGCACTCCATTGACAGCATTCGCCATGCCCACCAAGAAGATACACGTCCAAGGATTCACCATCAAGCAACTTTAGCGACACATGCAGGAAAGTTGCGTTGCTAAAGGATGCCTGAAAGAGAAACCTTTTCAAATACGTCAGTTTCACTTCTCTCGTGAAGGACATGAACATCTCAATCGCCAAGGTGAGGGACTCTTGCAATTCAGGCATACGTAATTGAATAAGGCCAACGACATTGAGTAGAGAGTGAGATGGAGATATTATCGCAGTAATGTTTCATCGGACTTTTATTACAGCCAAACGCCTTCACCTCGGCTAACTGTGGAGCAATCGAACACTTATGGTGCGTGATTGGTGGGGCAACTGGGAAGATCGTGATAGGAATTTCCTATAGGCCCCCTAACTCTTCTCTTGAGGATGAAGCAGCTTATTTTGCACTCATGCGTAGGATCGGCGAGATTTCGAAGCAGGTATTGCTCTTCGGAGACTTTAACATGCCGAAAATAGATTGGTAGGTGCCGCAAGGGGGGTGCGATAGGGATAGGGAATTTCTCGTTGCGGTTCAGAACGGTCTTCTCGTTCAGTACGTAAATGAGCCGACTCGCGAGGTAGCTTCATTGGATTTAGTTTTTGCGACGAACGACAATCTGGCACGAGACGTTAAGGTACAGGATAACTTGGGAGATTCGGCCACTGCTACCCACCATTTCAATCTCACTTCATCTAATAAACTCGGCACAAAATTCAACCGTCTCGTATTCCTCTCTGGTAGCANGGGAATCCTGTGGACATCGTCTATTTAGATTTCGCGAAAGCTTTCGATACCGTTCCTCACAAGAGGTTGCGGGTTAAACTGGAGGCGCACGGGATCCAGGGTATGACGAGCGAGTGGATCAGTATTTGGTTGGCAGGACGAGAGCAACGGGTGATGATAAATGGGGAAGCGTCGAAGGAGGTCGGAGTCGCAAGCGGTGTCCCACAAGGCTCGGTCCTTGAACTGCTTCTGTTTTTGGTTTACATAAACGATTTGGATCTCGGCGTAGAGGGTAAGATGAGTAAATTTGCCGACGACACAAATATAGGTTTTACCATAAGGGGGAGGCGGACAGGGCTGGAGCTAAGCGAAATTTAAGTCTTTTGGACGAGTGGAGCAAGAAATGGTTCATGCGGTTTAATAAAAGTAAGTGTAAAGTTCTCCACGTCGGTCGAAACAACGGTAGGTCTCTCGACACGTTCGGCGATGTTAAATTGGATGAGGCAAACGGAGAGAGAGATTTAGGATTTTCTATCGATGAGGATCTCAAGTTTTCATCGCACGCGCATGCGACGGTGGCCAAATGCAACAGGATTCTAGGTTACATTCGTCGGTCGGTTGCAAGTTGGGCATCTCGCGTTATTCTTCCATTGTATGCGGCGTTGATAAGACCCCAGTTGGAATGTTGCATCCAGTTTTGGAGGCCTACAAATAAGGGCGATTTGTTGGCCCTCGAGGGAGTACAGAGGAGGGCCACAAGAATGATTAAGGAGGTCAGGGGACTATCATACGAGAAACGTTTAGAAGTGTTGGGCCTGTACTCGCGTGAACGAAGGTTAAGGAGGGGCGATCTCATCCAGGCTTTCAAGATAAATAAAGGAATAGATAATGTCGAGTGTGGTAGGTTTTTCCAGTTTGATGACAGCAAGAGAACGAGAGGTAACCGACTTAAGTTGTGCAAACCGCAGGTGCGGCTCAGGTCGAGACAGGAATTTTTTACTTGCAGAGTGGTGAACGCGTGGAATGCGTTAGAGGACGAAGTAGTGGCTGCCCCTTCTGTGACTATCTTTAAGAAGAAACTAGATGCTTTCCTGGACAGGCAAAAAGGTGGGGGGCAATGTTGACGTTAGGTACTAAACAGTAAGCAACTAGGATAGTCAAAAAAAAAATATATATATATATATAGCTTTAAGAGGGTTAGGCCTACCCTAAAATTAAGGAACGCTCGACCTCGACACGTGATATCGAAATGGGCGAAATCGCCTCTTGATGTCACTAACTACCTTGAACCTTGAACCTTGAAATTTTGTTCCATGTTGCTTATGTATTTGAGAACTTGCATTGGTACCCTGTGGTCAACAGGTTGCAGCGATCCAACTACGCACATCACAAGGTTGTGGCTCTGGAGAATGATGATTGGGTTGCAATGGTGGTAGATGGGATGGACCAGAAGAAAACAAATGTTCCTCGGTTCGCCCAAGAAGACAAGCATACAAATAGCTTGCAAAATCTTGTCACTCATATTGAAGGTGATTCTACTCTTCCATATATATTTGAATGTAATGTTTTCAAGGTAACACTTGATATAGCTGGCAGCCGCTTAAAATTACATCTTGACACAGTTCAATTCTTTCAGTTCAATGAAGTGATACTGGTTTCGTGTGAAAATTGACATTTTGTAGATGCACTTTCATTCTAAACTTTGTAGGAGTCATGGTATACACGGGCAAGGGGATCCTCGAGTTCGCAAACGTTGACATGGGTCAATACCCCCACCATTCCAATTTGACAATGGAGGTCATTATTGATACTCTGCTTCATGTGAAGCAGTATTTGAAGCCCAAACTCATCCTGCAGATGGACAATTGTACCAGGGAGAACAAGAACAAATACCTCTGCGCGCTGGCTCATCTTCTCGTAGAGGAAGGAACATTTGAAGAGGTTAATGACACTCTTAGGGTTCCTTGAAATTTATATAAATCCTGCTATTTATAGAAATCCTGTTAAAATTATAGAAGTCCACGCTTGGCACGTGCTTTCTCCAGACACCCAGCATTTCATGGTAATGGCGGTTGTATGCAAGCTCAAATATGTTTTATTAGCAAGTAACTGATGGAATTAAACTACCATATATGCATCGGTCTATCCCCAGGAACCGGTATTGTACCTTCAAAAGCTGAGAGACTACAAGAACACTTGAACTAAATTCACTGCCGGCATAACTCCAACAATGCAATCCTACCTGGCGAACATGAAAAGTCAGATGCTTGGACCATTGCAACAGGTGATAATATTTTTCCTAACCTTAGAGGCATCCACATTGCACGTGAACGCATTCAAATAGTCGATCATTCTTGCAAAGCTGAACTCCAGGCTTAATTTCCTGTATGCACTCCACAGCCCATCATCGGTTCCATGGCAGTCGGAGACTGGGCATATGTGCTGGGACCAACGACCTTCATCCGGGGATGTTGGCCGTCGTCTATACAGAGGAGAAAACATCACGGCCATGGGTGGGAAATATAACCTCCATAGAAGAGAAAGAAGCGACCATCCACTGGTACAAGGGGACTTATGAGAAATCTTGGAACCCAATGATTGGAATTGAAAGCCTTTCAACCGTTCCCCGAGAATCACTCCTCTCATGGGAATTCAACCTAACAGACAAGAGGCAGCTGCTGAGGATCGAAACGAGGGAAGAATTAAAGCGACTTCATCAAGAGACTGACCAAATAATGTAACGGCAACCAGAGACTTCAGGAAAAAAAAAATTGGTACGTGCTTTTTTATTAATGTAACCTTATATACAGGTCCAGCCCAACCATTCAACAGGATGTTAATTTCAATATTGATTTATCTCGAATCAAAATATTATGAGTGGTGTTTGTTCACTTGGACAATACCATTCCTGATATGTCACGCAGTTCATTGCAATGATCTTAAATGAATTATCTTCATCCTGCAGGAATGATTGACGACAAGCTTGGAGACGCCAGATGTAGCCAGCAAAGAGCACCTGACCAGAACATCAACGTAGCCGGAATTTGAATCCTGATGGTCAAGGCTTCAGAATACAAGTTGCTTAGATTAAAGATTTTTATCTATTTTTTTCTTTCTGTAAGCACATGAGAGGAGAATGTAAGCTCTACGGAATGGGGTTTAAAAAAGCTGGATGTTGCACTGATCCAGAAGCGAAAAGTCTCTTCTCCTAATCTTTTGTTCTAAAGAGGACCATTTTTCGACGCCTGATGTATTACAATTTCGTAAACCTTTCTTCATTTACCAGCATGTCAATTTTTGGTGATTTGCATATTAGGATAATGAAAATGTGAAATGAAAATGAAATGAAAAAATGAACATATGAAATTGAGCTATGCCAAACCTATCCTAACCTGATTTTATGTGAATGAATTATTGAGATTCTAACTTCATTCACTTTTGTGCAGCATCTCCAGGCCCTTTGGAAAAGTGCTGAAGTCGGGAAGGAAGATGTGAGCGGAATCTTACGAAGCCGATCGTCCAACGGATGAAGATTGGCCTCCCTTCATCCTTCGATTCTGGGCAAAAGGTGTCTGTCAAATGAGTGAGGGATTTCCTTTTTTTGTGCAACCCTTATCTTGTAAATGCATAAGTTCAATAAAATTTTTGTCTTGCAAGAATGGCGGATGTCATATGCTCTGGTTGATCCTTCCATTATACACGTATTTCATTGTGAGACTGATAATTTTTCCCAATCAATTTTTATCATTCAATATTTGGGTAACATCTAATATATATAGACGATGGTGACTGACTGCTTGACTGACTGACTGACGCTAATTCTAACCATGTTCCAGAAAGGTTNAATATGAAAGTAGAATTGTTTCTTTACTCAGCTATTCATCAGGTACCTCTTTGCCAAGTTTAAACTTTCCTGCACCCTCCGTTTGCTGGATCCATGCCCTGGGGGTACAAATTTTGGGGGAAGAAGTTTTTTAAAAATAGTTATCGTGATTGATAAGGATGACATCGAATGCTACCATTGTGTGTCTGCGTTTCGGTGGTGTAGTGGTAGCATATCGGACCGGTAATCGTGAAACCAGGGTTCAATTCACGGCCATTACTTGCCTTTTTTGGCTTCTCTTGCCTTCCATGTCCCGTTGGACATGGAAAGCGTAAACATGGCATGGACGTGCATACCGACACGATGAGATAAGGAAAAATGCAAAAATTTTCATCAATCCCCTGGGGGCATGGATCCAGCAAAACGGAGGGTGCAGGAAAGTTTAAACTTGGCAAAGAGGTACCTGATGAATAGCTGAGTAAATTGTCAGAATCAAAAGTGAATCTACTCCTGTGGCATTTATCCCAGAAACCATCGGGCAGAAATGGAAAAATAGCAGCTGTCGCACGGATAACGGACGTGATGTTGATTTAAGAAAAAATTCAACTTTTGCTGAGCATTTCCCCAGAGCACAGCTTTTGGATGGGTTGCTTTTTTAAATATATTTTTTATCGTCAGCAACAAGGGGAAACGTATAAGGCTGAAACTGGGTGGCATGGAGTTCCCTGAATCTACATTTCAAAATAATAATAAAAATTCGTTAACACCATTTGTGCCCTTTTTTCAGTCCCATATTCCTGATTTTTTTTTTGATCCAACGAAACAGAGACAGGAAATTTAAACTTCCCTCAGAAGTACCCTTTTTGATGGCTGAGTAGAATAAAAATCATAATTTTGAAACATGTATCCTTAGCGTAGATTATTGGAGGGAAGTTTTTCAAAATGTATTCTCCACCATTCCAAAAAGGGACAGAAGAAAATATTTCATGTTATGCACCCAGAATCATAGAGGTAATGATTTTGATCATTTGATGAAAAACTCAAGACATTCGACCCCATATGTCACGTATTTCAATGGGGAGGTACTTTAAATATGTGTATCCCATTTCGCAAAAAATGAATTAATTAATCACTATCCGAGGTAAGGGAGCGCCGATGGCGCGATCATAGACAATAAAGGCTTTCAAGAGTCATTCAAACTGTGCAGTGATTCCGTGTTGACCCGCGTTGGATGAGACTTGAGCCACTGGGCTCCAAAGTGAGAAGTAAGAGAAATTGAATTTCCAAATGCACTTGCGCGTCCTTGATGCGCATTGCTCTTCAGAGGATGGGAAATGGGCCAAATGGCTAGTTTCCCATGGAGTGTGTAAGCATGCGCACGGTGTTCAACCTACAGTATGGGAATGCGGCAAAATGGCTGGAACCCCATCGTGTGAACACATGGGTCTTACTTTCCGCCCCTTGACCTTCGTGTTCTGAGCCGTGCGTCGCACATCCTGGAAAGTGTGGGTCAGGCATGTCAAATCCTTAATAATATCCATAAAAATTTAAGTTGCGTTATTTATAATAAAGGACTGATGGAACGAGAATGACCCAAATTCTAGTCCAATACGATGTTCGAAAGTTCCCCGACGAATTGGCAGCTCGATGGTTTCTGGGATAAATGCCACAGGAGTAGATTCACTTTTGATTCTGACACCACATATGGGTACTTATGGGTATTTATATTTTGTTCACGCAATTTTTTTTTTCCTGGCGTATTTAGCTGGTGTGGAAAAATGAAAATTGGTACATAGCTACCTATTGGGATGCTGAGTGCAAAAAAAATTCAGACTTTGGAAGTAAATGTCCCTAGGGCACACAAGGAATAATGCAAAATTTCATATCCATGATATGGGGGAATATTTATTTGGGACCGACGTTTAAAAGTATTTCTTTCTTGTCCTGGCGTATTACGCTAGGTGGAAATATGAAACTTGATGCATAACTACCTATCTAGACGCTGCGTGCAAAAAAATTCAGACCTTGGACGTAAATGCCCCGGGGGCAAACATTTCGAATGGAGATGTTTTCAAATAATTATTCTGCATTAGTTAAACTGATTCCCATAGAAAGCTAAAATTTTCCATAAATGTGACTGCTGAAAGAAGGAATCAAAGAAAAAAATTTAAGTCTGCATATATACCCAAGGAAATTCTTTCGAAGGACGATGTTTGAAAAAATAATTTTTGTTGTTGCGAATAGGACAGAAATGGAAAGGTGAAACTTGGCACACATATAAATGACATGATGTTATTAATGACTTGAGGGATTATTCAGCTTTCATGGTGCATCCACGCCTGGCATAGCTTTTGGGTGCGTCAGGCTTTCCGAATATGTTTCTTCACCAGAGAAAAGGGCAAACGTATAATGTTTTACCATTTGTGGTTATGTTTTGCTATGAGGATTGATTTCAGTAAAAAAAATAACTGCACTTTTAGGTTAAAACGCCTGAGGGTGCATATATTGCAAAAGGCGCATTTTCCAATCCAACAAAACAGAGGGAAAAGCAATATTATACTTGCCAAAGAAGAACCTGATGGATAGTTGAGTAAATAAAAAAGTATAGTTTTATTATATATAGTCGCTATTTCATTTTGAGTTCAGGAAAAATTATACTTTGGTAATTCATGCCATATGGGAACATTTTCGGGGAACATATTTTAAAAAATAGTTCTCTTTGCTTCAATCAAACTGACACACATGGGAAGCGGTAACTTGGCAAGAACGTGACTGGGGAAGCACTGAGCTCATATGACAAATGTCAAATTTCATAATTGATTGAAGGAAATATTTAACTTTTGGTGTGTGTCCTCAGAGCACAGCTTTAGGGTGTGTCGCTTTTCCAAATTTATTTTTCCGCCAGCAAAATGAGGAAACGGATGAGGCTGAAACTGGATAGCATGGAGTTCCCTTAGTCAACATTTAAAAATAATTAACATTTTCGTTAAAACCAATCAGGCGTCTTTCTTCGGTACCATTTTTCTGAAATTTCTTTTGGTCCAACGAAAGAAAGACAGAGAATTTAAAATTCTCTCAGAAGTCCCTATTTCATGGCTGAGTACAGGATATATCATACTATTGAAATATGTACAATTAGCTCATATTATAGGAGGGAAGTATTTCAAAATGTATTCTCCACACTTACAAAAAGGGACACATGAAAAGATCTCAAGTTAGACACACTAGAAATTATAGAGGTATTGATTTTGATTAAAATCAAGACCTTCTTCGCTATATGTCATGTATTCCGATGGGGACGTGTTTTCCATTTCACGAAAGAATAAAGGAATTAATCACTATCCAAGATAATGGAGCGCCGAAGGCGCGACCATAGGGAGTTCCTTTGCACGAAGGTCAAACAAACTGGCTAGTAAAATATAACCACACCTATTTATATGTCACTGGTGATCCAGATCAGGTTATTTCACCATGACTCCCTGGATTGTTTCTTTGATTACGATTTCAAGAGAAAAACTAACGAGATCAATCGTTCGAAATATTACACAGACGAGAAAACTGAAATGAACGGCATGAGTAATGCATCATTGGAAAGAACTTAGCGATTTTACTACACAGATGTTTCACGTTTGGGCCGCGTTTGAAAGAGGATGTCCAAACCACCAATTTTGGTGAAAATAGTCAAAATTGGACATTTAAATTTAATTTTAAGTTGTTTGGAACAATGTAGAAAGTTGAGCATTTGTTATTGTATTGGCATTGTCTTGGTCTACAAAGTTGCAAAAGTTCGTTGTGTTACCATGTACTAGTACTCAAAATTAGCGTGCAAAATTCAGCACTATTTACCAATTTGGAATATATGTAACTCAGTTGGTAATAAGCGTTGTAAAATATAGATTTGATGTTGCGACCCTGCTTTGTCTCAGCTTTAATTAGTGTACAAATGTATCTTCTAGCTCGACTGGGACTAGAGATTGTGCTTTTATCTCAAACCAGCGAGTTTCTTTTCCCGAATGGCAAACAAACTCGCTTTGGTCGCGCCATCGGCGCTCCATTACCTTGGATAGTGATTTATTAATTTATTCTTTGCGAAATGGCAAACACGTATTTAAAGTACGTCCCTATTGAAATACGTGACACCTGGGGACAAAAGTCATCATTTTAATCAAGATATTTCAGTTATTTCTGGAGTGCCTAACTTGAACTTTTTTATGTATCACTCCTTGTAAGGGTGGAGAATACTTTTTGCAATACATCCTTCCCATAATATGCGTTAATGGGGCATATTTCAAAAGTAGGATTTTTCCTGTACTCAGCCATCAAATAGGTACATCTGAGGGAATTTTAACTTTTCTGTCTCTGTTTCGTTGGATCAAAAAATAAATCAGGAAAATGGGATTTAAAGAAAGTGCCCTGATGGGCTTTAACAATTTTTTTCTCTCTGAAATGTAGACTCAGGGAACTCCACCAATGCCACCCAGTTTCAGCCTAATATATTTATCCTCGGTATTGGCGATAAAAAAGTATATTTGGAAAAGCGACCCACCCAAAGCTGTGCTCTGAGGAGACGCACAGCAAAAGCATATATTTTTCTTAAATCAATATCATGTCCATAATGCGTACGCCAGCTGTTAATTTTATATTTCTGTCCGATAGTCTAGGATATGAAAAAATTCTTTGAAAACATAACGTCCCTAAGAAATTCCCCCCTAAATTCCAATATTGTGCAAATTTGACGTTTTCCTTGGTTCAGTGCGTCAGCAGTCACGTTCTTGCCTGGTTTCAGCTTTCCATGTCTCCGTTTGATTGAAGCATGGAGAACTGCTTGAAAATATGTTCACGGAAAGATGTGCCCTATGGCATTTATCACCAAAGTAGAAATTAAACTGAACTCAACATGCAAATAGAAACTTAGGACAGTCAATCAGCTGCTTACGATCCTCTATATGAATAAAAGTAGAATTTATTATTGAATCAGCTATCAATCAAGTTCTTCTTAGGCAAGTTTGAATTTTCTAGCACCCTCTGTTTCGCTGGATCGAGAAAATACGCCTTTTGCTTGACAAGTGGCCTCAGGCGTTTTAACCGAAAATTGCAATTTCTTATCACTGAAATCCATCCTCAGTGAACTACATGCCGACAAATGTTCAACCTAATACGTTTGCCCTTTTCGCTGGTGAAAAAAACATGTTTGGAAATGCCGACGCACCTAGAAGCTATGCCAGGAAGCGATGCATCATGAAATCTGAATACTCCCTCCACTCAATAATATTGGGTTGGAAAGAAAGTCTTGCAACACTGCGCAAATTTTTCCAACTTTTTTAACTTTATTGAAATGCAATTTCAGTCTACAGTGTAATGACCATTGTTGTCTATGACATGTTCCCATCGCACGGATAACTGCTCGAACCCTCTTTGCCAAGAACTATGCCGATTGCGAAGCGAAGAAACGGCCGACATCATTTTAGAGCTGTGCTTGATCGTCGAAGGCCTTGTCCCGCAGGTGATTCCTGAGGCCCCGGAACAAATGACAGTCGGAAGGGGCCAAGTCCGGTGAGTAAGATGGATGGGGTACAACTTCCCACCCCAGTTCCGAAATCGTCATCTTTGCAACATGTGGAAGAGCATTGCCATGCAGAAGGAGAACTTTGTTGCGTTTGGGACGCTCTTTTTGAATGACGCCAGCCAACTTCTGAAGTCGAGCAGCGTAGACGACGGCAGTCACGGTGGTACCGGTTGGCAGGAGCTCATAGTACTGCATAGGCTGCATATCTCGAAAACCGTTAAAGCCAAATAGATAAATTGTATAAGTATTTTCATGGGTCTTCGATTTTAGCATGCACAACAATTTTCAAGCAAATCGTATCAGAAGTCCAACGAAAGAGACTAAAATTGGACCAATTCAGCTGGAACGCCTCGACAATGAGTCATATTATGATTTATTTACTTGTGACATTCAGATGAGGAACTAGCTATTGTTTATGAAGATCTAGTTTTCTAAGCCCATTTGAGATACAAAATACTCGATAAGCAATGGCTTTTCGGTTGCGAACTTCCGTGCAACTACAAGACCTCCAGCAAAATAAGCAGAAAAAAAGCCAAATGTTCCTACAGATAGAATGCTGTGATTGCAATGAGATAAGACACAAAAATCGAAAAATTTACATGTTCCTTCCACGAATACAACTTTCACATTTTTCCTTGTAGTTTTTAAATTTTCCTTACTCCATTTCATGTCGTCACTAGTCACAATGAATACCAAATTCGAGAAAAGCTGACTGAAATGCCACATGGCCCTCTTGTAATATGATGCCGACACAGGTTCGGCACCATAAAAGTTTTTATTGTGAGAAATTTGGTCTGTGCGGCGTACATGAATACCAACATATGTCACGTCATTTTCATGCATTGCTGACAAGCTTGAAAAAAAGAATGCACTCTTTCAACTAGCCATGAATCGAAGCTGAATTCTGACATCCAATCATTCTTGAACTTATGGAAAAGCTTACCGTCAAAGACATAACCTATGAGAAACAAATCTTTGTCAGAAATAAAATCTAAGTCGTTCCATGGGTGAAGAATTGCTCCATATGCTACGCTGCTCGGTGCTTCAGTCCATTCTCTAGGGGAAATACCAGGTTTCATGTTCAGGCCTCAGGGTGAGGTGAGGGAAAAGGGGCCGTAGATCCTTTAATAGAGTGCCCCTAAGCACGGGTATTTTCCGGTACTCTCTCCCATAGGAGAAGAGTGTGACATACTCAGCAATCATGTTGCCTAATCTCCCTCTGTTTTCCAACGTGACGAACGTGGTGTTCCTACATTGTTGTTCACTCAATGGGAACCTTGCCCAGAACACAGGAAGTTTTTTAACTCCATTATAACATATGAATGGTATTTGAGGCTCCTGAGTATCATTTACCAGCACCATGTGACTTCGACAAATTTCTGCATCTCTCAAGTATTGCAAGACGCATGTCAACGTGTCAGAAAATGAATGTAATTTTAAAAGAAATACCACGGTTGTTAGCAGGGTGATCTTGAAAATTCCGCTTCCGAATATTCGTGACCGTCTATACATCTAATGAAAGAAGGAGACAAGCATTATTTAACGGAAGCTATGAAAACAGGGATAACCTTTCGTTTTAGAGATTTATTGAAATTCTCAACTTTTCAAGGAAGGGGGTGTTGCCCATAATGTGTGTTTCCTTAAATCTTATATGATAGGCATTCGCGAATTTGATGCGATGAAGTACAGATTTAATTCTCAGGTCAAGACTAAGGGATATCGGCTAAATGCACATTTTAAGATTACGGAATAAGGCACTTACCCCCCCCCCCCGCACGTGGCGGTAAACGAGTTTGCGCCTTTTTTATTCAATCTGAGGCAATATTTTAGAAAATTAAGCCTGTTTGGGCTCAGTCATCATACTTGAAGTCGGCGATGCAAGTCATGCTCTTGCAACAGATTAAAAAATTATTGGGTTGGAAAGAGTCTTGCAACACTCAGCACAAATATTTCAAAATCTTTAAACTTTATTGAAATGCAATTTCAGTTCACAATGTAATGACCATTGTTGTCTTATGACATGTTCCCAACGCATGGGCAACTGCTCGATGCACTGTGCCCAAAACTCTGACGATTGCGAAGCGAAGAAACAGCCGCCATCATTTTCGAGCTGTGCTCGATCGTCAAAGGCCTTGTCCGGCAGGTGATTCTTAAGGACCCAGAACAAGTGATAGTCGGAAGGGGCCAAGTACGTAGAATACTCTGGATAGGGTAAAACTTCCCAGCCCAGTTCCGAATTGTCTGGCGAGTCATCTTCGCAACATGTGGACGAGCGTTGTCATGCAGCAGGAGAACTTAGTCGTGTTTGGGACGCTCATAGGAATGACGCCAGCCAACTTCTGAAGTCGAGCAGCGTAGACGACGGCAGGCACGGTGGTACCGGTTGGCTGGAGCTCATAGTACAACATTCCTTCTGAATCACACCAACAGCAGAGAAGAACCTTATTCTCGTGGAACCCTGGTTTTGGTTCGTGTGGCGGCAATTCTCCTCGTGGAAGTCACTGACTCTTGCGAGTATGGTTGACGTAGACGACCCAGCTCCCATCTCCAGTAACGATTTCCTTCAGAAGGTCCTTTCTGTGCGGAAAAAGGAGCAGTGATTCACAGACATTGACACGGCTTTCTTTGTCAGAGTCGCTGAGCTTGATGAGGGACCCATGTCGAGTTAACCTTCCGATAGCCGAGGTCGTTCAGATGGTTACCGATGGCCATATGGGTGACCCCAAGTGTAGTCGCCAATTCGCGAGTGGTGGCGTTCAGCTTCGCGTTGAGGGCGTTCCGCAGGGCTTCGTCATCGAATGTAGATGGACGTCCTGAGAGTGGTCCATCTCCGAAGCTGGTGTCGCCAGATTCCAAGCGTTTGAACCATCTAGATACCGTGGAATAGTGGACGTCGTTGCCCTTGAATGCAGCGCAGATGTTTTCCGCGGCGGCTCACGCAGAGTGTCATTGTAGGAACTCGCAGTAGACGATGGGGCGAAGAGTTGCTTCTTCGATCGGAGCCATGTCTGCAAACTAATGGCAGAAGCTGCCTTATATACCCCGAGGGCAGAAGCTTCGAGAACATTCCAGCATATGCAAATGCAAAGCCCCGCCCATCATTCCTTTGAAAATTTGATAAATATATTTAGAAAGTTCCGTTTTCCTGATATCAAAATGATTCTCAGAGCTCTTTTGGATAAATTGGCGTAGTAGAAACCTAACGCGCCCAGAGATGTGAATCTTCCATTCCAAAAAGACTTTTGGAGGAATTCCGGCTTTAAAAGATGCACTTTTAATAAACTTGTCTAAAGCCATCTCAAATTGTGAAAAGAATTCCTCCTTATTTAATTTCTTGTTAATTCTATATTTACTGCCTTTTCCAAAGAGAGCCCTGAGTTTAACATTTTCGATTATGCCTAGGTCGCCAGTAAGAATGTGCCCATGATGCCTGTCAGCATAGCTCCTATACCTATCATCTACACACGTACAAGGTAAGCCTTCAAGTGAGGTCAAATCAAGATCNCTGACTGAACAACACAAAGTCCACATGCCATTCTGTTACCTGTGGAAAAGTCCAGTGAATAGATTACAGATGCACCGATGACCAGCACTGGCTTTGATCCCTACTAAAGAAGCATGGAATATCCTGTAGCTATCCAATATCTGGCCTATCGACGTTGAGAAGAGTTTCGAGCTGTTTCTCGTTGGAGGCGTAGAGTTTCAGGTCGTCCATGTAGAGAACGTGGTTCATGCGATGGTCTGCATCCTTCTCCAATCCTACGTAATAACCAGTCAGTCCGAGCTCAGTACTGAGAGGGTTGAGAGCCAGACGGAAGAGTAGAGGAGATAGCGTGTCTCCCGGGAAGATCCCGGGAGACACGCTATCTCCTCTATTTCCAACCATCTCCTATTTCCTACCAACGGGATCCCGGGATCCCGTTTGT